TTATTTATAGTAGTGGTAGATTTATTTTTCACTGATAGACTTATTAGTAGTAGTGGTAGAGTTAATTTTGTGATCGGTAGACTTATTGATGGTTCGCACAATGGTAGACTTATTTATAGTGGTGGTAGATTTATAAAATATGGTANACTTNTTTGTAGTAGTGGTAGTGTTAATTTTGTGATCGGTAGACTTATTTCTAGTGGTGGTAGAGNTAATTTTGTGATTGGTAGACTTATTGATGGTTCGCGCAATTGTAGACTTATTTATAGTAGTGATAGATTTATTTTTGAGTGATAGACTTATTTATAGTTGTGGTAGAGTAATTTTGTGATCGCTAGACTTATTGATGGTTCGTGCAATCGTAGACTTATTTATACTAGTGGTAGAGTTATAATATGTGGTAGATTTATTTATTGTAGTGGTAGATTTATTCAATNTTTTCACNTNTTTACTAAACAACNTTTAGTTGGTAGANTTATTTATANTAGTGGTANATNTATTTATAGTAGTGGTAGATTTATAATATGTGGTAGATATATTTATACTCGTAGTAGTGGTAGAATTATAATATGTAGACTTATTTGTAGTAGTGTTAGATTTATAAATATGTAGTAAACTTATTTATAGTAGTGGTAGAGTTATTTAATAAAGGGTAAAATCGTAATTTACCGGTCATATTTTCCATACAACCAAACTTCTGTCAAACCCTAACAATGGCGGCCAACTACCTTTTAGCTCGTTTTTACTGTATTTTAACTTGTTTTCAACTGGATTTAGCCTAAAACTAGTAGATCTAACATCATATATCTCTTTTCTAACCAAAAATCAAAAGATTTCAAGTTTTTTTATTTTTCATTGTGATTTTCAATCCGATTTTATATAAATCCGGCGGTACACATCTGTCAAGGTTGTCTCCGGTGCTTCTGCAGCCTCCACGGCCGCGGTTTCAAATAAATTTCTGAAATTTTTTTTTTTAAATAATTAGAATGACATTTTCGTAATAAAAATTTTTTTACTAAGATTTATATGTCTTTTATGATATTTGTTAAGTTTTAACCTTGTTTAAAAGTTATTTTAGTAATTATGCAATTTTTTAAAGTTGTTGTAGTAATTTTTCTTAATTAATTAACTAAATCATCTATGAAACTAAAACTATTATCAAGGCACGTCATAATATGCATGCATCTGTGCACCTTTTCCTTAAATTAGACTTAAAAAGGAATTCTAGATTTTGCTGAGAAAAATCTTTGCCCGATTCAACTCCACTATATCACTCACTTGATCGAGGTTCCCTAAATCATGATGATCAGTTTCTTACACAACACGACTCCATATTATCGATGAATGAACCATTTATACTAATAGATTGTAGAAAATTTATAATATCCAAACTGAATCTGAATCGTAAAATGTGAAATCAATAATTCTACTAGAATCCGATTTTACCATATATACACATATAAGTGTTTTAGACCACTTGGCCAATAGTAGTATAGTTGTTTTGTTTCGGTATATGTAAAAAATCTAATTGAAACAGTCATCAAAAAGATAAAAAATCTAGTTGAAACCAGTGATCGGGCCGCATTATGCATGCACAAG